ACACCTTTTCCTTATGGTCAACTGTAATTTCAAGATTATATACTTCATCTTTGAGGTATGAAAATCTGTCCTCAAAGATGTCTAGTCTACTTRTGATGCTTTTCATTGAATTTTTAATTTGATTCATTGATTCCTTCATTTTAAGGATTTTCATTTTAATTCTTTTTCATAATCTCTCTTTATTGAAGTAATCTTTCACCTCCTATATTTCCTCTCTGATTTCACTCTACATCTTTTAGTTCATAGAATGTTTATGAATTTTCTAAATCTCTTCTCTGACATTTCCTCCACTGTAGTGTCAATGAAGTCAATTGTTGGAGCATTATGGGCTGTTTGGGATGGTTTGTTCCCTTGATTTTTTTATATTGTTTTTATGTCTACCCATCTATCAGTATAGTTTTGGCTTCTTCTTTTAAGTGAATAACTATGGAGCTTCTATTTGTTAAGAGCCCTGGGTTGGRTGGATGTCTAGATAATGATACTTTAATTCAATGTGTGACTTCTGCTGAGCCAATACCAGCTCCACTTTAAGAGATACCATTGAGCCCTCTTAATTATAATAACTTCTGACCCTAATCTTGTACRATACAACCTTGTAAGAACAAAAACTTATTGCAATTATTCACTGTAGTTCCTCAAATTTAGGTATAAACCTATAATAAAGTTCTGGAACAGGTGAAAAAAATAATCTAGTAGTTAAATTTAGTACACTTACTATAAAAATTATATAGTAAGCAATTATATAAGAATTAATTTAGTAGTTAAATTTAGTAAACTTACTATAACCTTAAGAAAGTTCTAAAAAGTGGGAGGAAAAAAGCGTAGGCAAATGGGGGAGTGAAAAAAACAGAAAAAAAAGGGGGAGTTAAAGGGGTAATAAAAACTATAAAAGGATACTTACACAAAGGTATAAAGGAGAAATAAGTGAAYGCGTATATTTAAGGTAGTAGCAAGAGGAGGATAGGGAGTAARAGAAGCAAGAATAAACTAGAGCTAGAAAAACAACGCTAGGAAGATTGGTTCCAATTAATTCTTTATACCATTACATGAAACATATTCAAATGGGTGGGAGATACAATGTTGACTATTGCAATAACAGTTATCATTCAAGTTAAAAAGTTATTTATATAATCTAAGTTGACACTACAGTTGTTCATACTCTAGGAGGGTGTAGTGTTGTGAGTGGGCTGATTCTAATGTTGCAGAAGTTCAGGATGCAGACTCTGATGTGCCCCTGCGTTTGCTATTGGTCACCAGTCTGTTTGTTCCCCTCTGCTAGATTCTTTCATGGTATTGAAGATCCTGATAGCCTTCTGTGTGTGCAGGAACACTGGTTGTGAATTTTCAACAGGTGTTCTGTGATTCAGAGGTGTTCTCACTGCTGCTTCTGCTCTCTGAGATGCTGTGATGAAGGGTCTCTGGTGGTTCACCTGCAATCCAGTTTACATTCCACCAGGTTATGAATGGTAGGTATTGATTCTCGGTGCTTAATATGTCTGGTATAAATTCCTGTAAATATCCAAATAATGCCCTGTCACTTGCCAGTTGTGATCAGGGATCAGGCTGGGCACCTATTGTGGATAGATATCCAACCTTCCTACTGTGTAGCCTCTGCCAATTTCCCACTGGGTCTGTTAGTCACTGGATATTCAGGCAGCTTACCTCTAATATGGGTGCTGCAATCCCAGGGACTATACCTGGGCTTCCCATGATGCTTCCCCTAAGTACTAGAGGTCAGGGCCTGGTAAATCAGCTTTCTTTGGTTTTGGGGCCAAAGGGGCTTCATTGTAGCCTTTGAGTTCAATAAGCTTGTGCAGAGCTTTTTGCCCTTGCCTGGGTCCCAGGAGGCTGAGCAGGGCGAGGTACACTTCCCCAGCCCAGGTCCCCACCAACTCACTCCATTCTTTTGTTCAGGGAGAATTGGACAATAAGGAGGGACTTTCAGAGATTTATGACTAGTAGAGGTCCCTCTAGAAGTAATTTCTGTCCAGATCCTTAAAAGAGCCCACTGCAGTGGGGTCTTCCCTCTGATTTATGTTGCAGCTCTGTGGGCAGGGAAAGATGTTGTGCTGATTTAAGAGGATAACTGGTGGGCTGCAGGCTCCAAAAGATATMTGAACCACACCCTCAGCTTCATCTTTATGGTTTGGTTTTAAGGGGTTTGTGCTATTTTAAAGTACTTTCTGAATTTTAAATTTTGTTAATCTTTTCTATAGTTTTTCAACAATTGTTTTAAGTGAGTGAGTTTAAAAGAATGTCCATTCCCCACTCTCTCTTTCTCTCTCTGATGTGCCCAACACACACACATAATCTACAGGTTCAGGTTAGAATACTCTTGAATCTTGTTTTCTCCTCTGGTAACCAACCTTTCAGTCTCTCCAGGTCTCAGACTATGTAGTTGAGTCTTAGACCCTTTATTTTATCACCCACCTCTAAAATCTGCTTTTATTCTCTGCCTTCTTTGTTCGGAGGAAATCATTGGGACTTGCTGCTCAATTCACTTCTGCCATCTTCCCCCACCTAACATTTTATGAGACCTAAGCATCTGTGAATTTTTATATCCCTGGGTTGGAGGGTGGCCCTGAAACCAATCATTCATTGTCCATATGAGGGTTGTACTTCAATCTATAAATCACAATGTACCTTTTTTGGAATAGGAGATTGTAAACTGAAGACTTCATGTAAGCACTGTCAAAAAACAATATCTAGTAGTTCATATGGCTATTTATATTTAAAGTTAATAAACTTTAAAAAGTGAACTGTTTAGCACTCTAGCCACATTTCAGGTGCTCAATAACCACATGTTAACTGTGGTTATCATCCTGGACTGCATATAGAGCACAATTTCATTATTATAGAATGTTTTCTTGTACAACAATGCTGAAATGAAATGACTGAAAGTTTATGTATTCCCAAAATTCATATGTTAAAAGATAATCCCCAATGAGATGGTATTTGTAAGTAAGGTTTACTGTATGTGATTGGATCATGAGAGCAGAGCTCTTATAATAGTTCTTATGATAGTTCTAATCCCATTCATTATAAAATCTCCCTAGCCCCTTGTTCACCATTCAGTGATACATTGAAAAAACAGCTATTTATGAGGAAGAGGGTACTCACCACACAGATTGTCCAAAACCTTGATTCTGAACTTCCTGACCTTGAGAAATGTGACAAATAAATTTCTGTTGTTTATAAGCTACCCAGTGTATAGTACATTTGTTATATATAGCAACCTCATGGACTAAGTTGACTGCTCTTGATGCTATCTGGGCCACAGGTTAAGTCAATAAGATCCATTTAAAATGAAAGGGCCAATATTATTTCTTGCACAGATTGCACAAGATTTCTGTCTGGAGTATGAATACATAGAACTGAAATGGGTCATAAGTGAATCTCTTATCTAATGCCTTTAAAAACAAAGGGTCCCCAGTTCCAAAAAGAAAAACACATGTTCCTTCAGTTCTATTCCCAGACTGAAGACACTTTGTTCACATCAAATTTTTAGGGGATGAATTTTCCTCTAGAAGAGTCCAGGGATAGAGCACAAAGTTTGAGAAGCAGGAATCCATATAAAGAAGAGAAATTCTGGGAAATGAAGTGGCAAAGAGTATGGGGGCAGTGGAGTACTCTCTGTGGTTTACTCAGAGCAGCAGTTCTCAAACTGTGGTATATGGAACCCTTAAATTTCTGAGATCCTTTCACAGGATCTACAAGGTCAAAACTATTTTTATAACATTACTAAAACATTATTTTCACTGAAATAAAATTCAGCAAGAATGGAGCTACAGTACTAAACTTTAAGAGTAGTTATTGTAATTTTTTTACCACCTCTTAATTACAGAAGAAGAAGAAGTCACTTTCATATAAACATGTCTAGAWTGAAGGATTAAAAAATATTAACTACAGTAAGTCTCTAGTCTAGGGTTCACATTTTTTTAAATATCTTATATGATTAAATGGGAAATACACATAAAGCCTACTACATTCCAAATTGGGATGTTTATGTCAATGAAATCATTTTTTAAACAGTATCAGTTTGTTTTATAGAATATCACTTTTACTTGAAAGAATGAATGACAGAAAAACTATGATTATTTAGACTTGTATATCTGACTGACATTAAAATCTATAGACACATCTATAGATTTTAATTCAACAGAATTCCAAAAGTTCAGTGACAATGCTTCAGGATCTGCATTGCAAATAACCTTTAAGAAGTTGACATGTCATTTTAGGTATTCATTCAAAGATGAATACCCACAATTATCCAAAAACATTATTAAAAGTGGTTCCTCTTACATACTGGTATGAGGTTAGCTTTTTTTCATATATTTCAATCAAAATTATAGGTTAAATGCAGAAATAGATACAAAAATACATAGGTCTTCTAAYAAAACAGACATGAAAAGGACTTATAAAAATGTGAAGTGTAAAGAAAGTCCAGCTTCCACTTTATTACTTTATTTTTAAAAAATAGTTATTTCTCTAAAACTATTTTTCTGTTAACACGCAATAAGTTATTAATTTGCTAGATAGATTATTTTTAAAAGGTTTAATTTCTAATGTGATAAATATTGATAACTATAATACACATAAACAAAATTACCTTGGGGAGCCTACTTAATTCCTAAGAATTAAGAGATCCTGAAACCAAAATGTTTAAGAACTGCTGACTTAGCACCTGAGGCAGGACTTTGAAAGACTAAGTGCCTAAAGAGTCTTCAAGGCAAGAGGAGAGAGCTTAAACTAGGCAAAATCCCCAGGTCCCAGGCATGGCTCTCAGGGTCCCAGGACCTAGGAGGGTGTGCAAAGAAGCCTAGAGTTGGGAAATACCTTGGGGATTTCCTCAGTTTTCACTTTTGCTTCTGCCTGGAACTCGTGACAGGGCCTCAGTACCCCTATTGCGGGTAGGATTCATAGAGAAGCCAGTCAGCGAGGCCTTAGGTTCCTGGTTATGAAATACAAAGGGAGGGAGCAGGACTGATTGTCCCCAAACAGGAAGGATCAGAGCCATGGAGCCCCGAGCCCTTCTCCTACTGCTGTTCGGAGCCCTGGCACTGACCAATACCTGGGCTGGTGAGTGCGAGATCAGGGGAAAAAAAAGAAAAAGACCTCTGCTCGGGAGAGGCAAGGGGACCACCCTGAGCGGACGCAGAACTCTGGGAAGCCGGGTCTTCTGGACCACAAACCCAGACCCCTCCCCGGGTCCCCATCTCCTGAGTAGTGTGAGTGGCCCCTTCCCTCACTCCCTTCTGCCTCCCCGCGCTTCCCATCTCACAAGCCCTGGCGCCCTGCTACTTCTTTCCAGGCTTTCTCAGCCTGGGACCCAAGGTCCGGCGCTAGGTCTCAATCGCTCCCCTCCCCCAGGTTCCCATTCTCTAAAGTTTCTCATCACTGCCATGTCGCGACCCCTCCGCGGGGAGCCTCACATCATCGAAATCGGCTACGTAGACGACACGCCATTCTTGCGATTTGAGTCACCTCCAGTCGTCTGAAGCGAGGGCGGGAGTAGGTGGGGGGAACCTAATCGTGGGACGGGATCAGTGTCTCACACCTTCCAGAGGGTGTACGGGTGCGACGTGGGACCAGACTGGCGCCTCCTCCGTGGGCACTGGCAGTACGCCTATGACGGCACCGATTACATTGCTCTGAATGAGGACCTACGCTCCTGGACCGTGGCAGACAMGGCAGCTCAGATCACCCAGCGCAAGTGGGAGGCCGAGGGAGTGACGGAGACAAACAGGGCCTTCCTGGAATGGGAGTGCGTGGAGACACTCCGCAAGCACCTGGAGAACGGGAAGGAGACGCTGCAGCGCGCAGGTATCAGCGGCAGCGGGGCAACTTGGAGATCTCCTGTACATTCCCCCATGCGCCTCTTGCAAGTAAAGAATAGTGTCCTCCCTCTGATCCAAAAGGGTATGAGTTCAACTTGGTTTCCAAAAGCTGTACCAGAGAGTGACTCTAAGAACCACACTTCTCTTAATTACACCAAGGGGTCCTAGGGCTGGAGGGAAGACAATCCTTAAAATAAGTGATCAGTTTCCTTTGACTCTRGCAGCAACCTCGGGCATCCCAGGGTGACTTTCAGGCTTTGTTCTTTATCCCAACCCAATGACTTTGGAAGTCTGAGGCCATCTTTTCCTCAGCTGTCAGCCTCCACTCAGTTCAGAATCTAAAGTATTTCTTAGAAGCTTGGAGCATCTTCCTCTTGGCTGTCTCACCCTAATTCTAGAACATAAGAAAAAATAGGAATATTATCCCAGATTCCTGAATCCTGCTTAGTGTCTGGGTGTTGGGCTCCCACCTCACACCTATTGTCCTGTCCATTCTTCAGTGCCCCATGCAAAATGTCCCAATTAACTGAGTCTTATCTGCAGATCTCCCATTGACATATGTCACCCACCACCCCATCTCTGACCATGAGGTCACCCTGAGGTGCTGGGCTCTGGGGTTCTACCCTGCGGAGATCACCCTCACTTGGCAACGGGATGGGGAGGACCAAACCCAGGAAATGGAGCTTGTGGAGACCAGGCCTGCAGGGGATGGAAAATTCCAGAAATGGGCAGCTGTGGTGGTATCTTCTGGAGAAGAGCAGAGATACACGTGCCATGTGCAGCATGAGGGGTTGCCTGAGCCCCTCATCCTGAAATGGGGTAAGGAGGGGATGAGGGCACAGGGCCTGTGGTCAGGAAAACAGGAGCCATTCTTTGGAGACCCTCAGCAGGGTCAGGGCTGAAAACTGAGAGCCAGGGTCACTTATCCTCCCTTCCTTTCCCAGAGAGGTCTCCCCAGTTCTCCATCACCTTTGTGGTAATGGTTGCTGGYCTGGTTCTCCTTGGAGCTGTTGCTGCTGTTATGATGTGGAGGAAGAAGAACTCAGGTAGGGTAAGGGTGAGGTCTCAGTTTTCTTTCCCAGTGAGGATTCCAAGCCCCAGGTAGTTTTTCTTGACTTTTTAACTAAGAAGGGTTTGACCCACAAAAGACATGATACTGAAAGCCATAATCTCAAATGTTTAAATCTCCAAAAGATTAAAACTCCAAAACTATAAGTCTGGGGAAAAAATTTTAATTTTAATTCACTGAAAGATATTTATTAGCATTTTCAAAAGGGATTTATTTTAGAGACATGACAGAACATGTCAGAAACTACTTTACACCATTAAATATGCAATAACATATTTTTGAATGAATAAATGTGCAGATATACTAACAACATTTGCACAAGTATAACAATTATGAGCAGATGAACCATATTCCTAAATAGGTGAACAAGCAAAATGTGTGAATACCTATCACTATAGTTAGTAACTGTGTATCCCAGTATTATACCTGCAGTAATCTGAAATACTGTATTAGACAACCTAAATCTTTTGACAAGGTAAATGAGAATGCACAAGAAATCACCAWCAAATATGCAGTTATCAAAAAGAAAGTCAAAACCTTGAGAAGTTTTTGTCTTTCACAAATGTAGATATACAAAAGGACATTTCTATTCATCAAGAAAATTTCAGTGTTTTTACATACATGTAACAATGCTTACACACAGCCAACATTCTGATAATGTACTTTCACAGTCACATTTGCAAAAATCATAAAATAAATTGAGACTCTCTGAAAGCCTTATACAGTTTATACCTCCATTATTAGATGTTGTAAAGATAAAATAAAAAACAGGAAAAATTTTAAATAATGATGATAGTTTTAAATAGTGGGGGAAAACTAAGAAGAACTTGAAATATGAAAAAATTACAGGGACAGAATACAATAATTAATGGACATAGTTCATAAAAACTGATACACTTTCATGATCATTAACTATATTCTGAACTCTCATATCATAATGAGTAGTGGCTCTTTTTTTTCTTTTAAGCTGTGGCTTTTCTTGGAGAATATGTTCACATTCATTTTTTTATGTGGCAATACTGTTTTTGAATTCTTCCAAGATTTGATATACACTGATATAATAATTCCCTATTAATTTTTGCAATCTGCTGTGCCACACTTCTGTGTTGTTTGGGGTGTGTGRAAACCCATCTGTATGCACTCAAAAACACCACAAGCTGAGCAGAAGCAATACTGGTGATTGTACACCATTAATTAAAAGTCTTCATCTCTATATAATTATCAGTAACATCACTGGCTCCTTCAGACAAAAACATCTTTAATTCATTAAAAGCTTCATCACCTGAAGAGATGCCAATGTAGACAAATGACACACTCTTGTACATGTTTTTGTTGTAGCTTGTATTGCTTGGCCAATTCCCCAGAATTTGGCTTTCTACCCCCGCCTAATATAAATAGCCTTTTTCCCACAAAGGAATTTACAGTGGGAAATCGGCTTTCAGCATTTTAACATTTKGGATTTTAATTGTTGAGGGTTATGATTTTTAAGATTTTAGACTTTAGAGACTTAAATGTTTCAGAATTCAACACATCAGTTTCTAGCATTGAAGATTGTGACTTTCAGAATATGATCAGCACAGACTGGGAAGTACCATCCACACACAGGTGCTTACCCAGCTTGGAGCCTGTTTACTGATATTTACATTACTGTAAAGCAATGTGAAAATGAAGGACAAATTTATCACCCGGTTATTGTAGTGATACAGACTTATTTCCCAAAAGCCAGAGGTCAGAAGAAAAAGCCCTGCTGAGGTCAGACTTTCAGGAGGACAACTGGTTCAGTTCCTGCATATCTCCTGTCCTCGTGCCTTCTGATCCTTCCCTGGGTCTGCAATTACAGTTCTGGAAACTTCCCTAGGTCTAGGATTTGCACATTCCTGTACACTTTTGGCCTTGTCTCCTCCTAGGTCTCTCACAGGATTTTTTTTTTCTTTGTAAAGGTAGAAAAAGAGAGAGCTATGCTCAGCCTGCCTGTAGGTTTAAAGGGGTTGATCCTAAGACCCTTGGGATAGTATATTTGGGAGTCCATGGGGGAGTTAACCGACTCCATAATCTCTCCTTTAGCCATATCTCCCGTAGGATCTGATAAGTCACTCACAACTTGAAGAGGTGAGTCACTGGAAAGCATGAAGAGGGAAAGAAGGTGGGGCAAAGAGGACATGACTGGGTTACAGGGACTTTCTAAATTTGAACCTTTCAGAATGTTGCCACTTATAGGTACTGATCTGATTTGTTCATGATTACTTTATTCTACAGTGCAAAACAGCTGTCATGGGTAGAATTGAACCATACAAGATTTGTTCACATCTCTCCATCCTGACAATAGTTTCAAGAGCTCCTGATTTCTCAATGTGAAGTTCACATCTGACTATATCTATGTGTCTATGTTGCTATCAGCATAATGTAAGGAAATAAGAACAGTCCATCCCTGATCATCAAGACCCCTGCCCCACACTTATCTGTATTCTCTTCCCCTGTAGACTTTCCTGTTCCAGCAGACACAGGGCTGGGATGCCTCTGTGTGGACAAGTGCATGGAGTATTGCATACATGGCATATGTTAAGGGCATCTGGTGGCAAACCACTCCCCTTGTGCTAGGCGCGTAAGTGACAATCCACTTACCCTATAGGCACAGCCCTGGGCGTGAAGCTGCATGTTGCAGTCCCTGTGCTTGCTCCATGGTCCGCTCTTCAATTGCTCACTGCAAGGACAGGTGGCCAGAAATTGTATCGGTGGCTGCCTATAATCTACTTAGCTACTGCCTGAGTATATATACATGGTAACTGCTGCAATAAAATCAGACCTGCTTCCTGCTTGTCTCTGGAGGTCTTGATTAGCGACTCCATAGCCACACTCTCCTCTACCCTGTTCCGTGGACCAGAGAGAGCCCATGCATGCTTCTACCCCTGTCTTAACTTTATGTTGCACTGTGCTGCCACTTCTTACTTCCCTGTTGAAAATGAGAATCTGAATATGGATTTGTTCTGTAAATTCTAGCTATGAGGTGTGGTTGATGGGTTTATTAAAGGAGAGGAACATTCTCCTTTGAAAAAGAAAATAAAATCTGAAAACTTTGAGAATACATGTTATTTGTTGTACTGAATCCATTACATGTAGGAACCAGAGAAGGCTGTGAAAAACCTAGTGTGGACCAGGCTATGTCCATTAAGTATTCAGTCTGTCATGGGCTTAGATACGGTTGCTCCCTGGCTGGGTCATCTTCACCTCCTTTGTCCTTGTCCCTCATTAGAACAGTATTCCACCAGGACCTGTGATTATAAGGATACAGAGTTTTGTCCTCTGTCTGGTACCAGAGGCAGTGAGGGATTTATGTGGCTGACTCAATCTTGGCTCAAACCTAAGCCCTGACATTAAGTCTCCATCTTTTATGTGTTTTTGTTTTATATAGGGGACTATGACTGTTCTTGTTAGTTGTAGAAGTTTTGATCTCATTCTTCTATGAGTGTGCCTATCTCTGTAGCAACAGGAAGCAGTTTGTCATTGGAGGGGCCCAGGACAGTTCTTGCACACAGTCTCTGCTSACAAGTGGTGAATTTTCAGACTCCTCCATCTTGTGACTTCCTTCAGGGGTATTTTCTGGATTGTATTTTTCATCTTTTTCTCAATATTTTAAGGGAACCAGATTCTAAAATTAGCAGAGAGAATGGATTTTATAATATCTCATCTAAATATATTTTTTAATATCTCAAATTCCTATTAGTTTTCTGTCTTTTCTGATCACCTGTCCTTTTTCCCTATCTTTAGCTCTAACTAGCGTAGCCCTTGTTCCAATTCAACCTGTGGATTTATAAAGCAGAGTCTAATTTAGATTTTTATTTGGTTGGAATATAAGATGAATAAGTCAAGAATTGTCCTATTTTGAAGAGAAAAATGCTGTCCTATGCTGTAGAGTGCGGGAAGGGCGGTATGAAATAGCAGGAAGAAGGGAGTGAAGGAGGAGGGAGGGCAGCACTTGTAAGAATAGCCTAGTTGGTCCTGACCTCAGTGTGAAAATGAAGGACATTCACTACAGCTGCCTCAGAGCAGTGTTTGCTCCTCTGAGACTCCATAAATAAAGATAGTGTCCCTAGAATAAGGAGGTGTTCTATAGGAGTCATTCATTCAACTGGCATTTGTTGAGCATAGGCTATATGATATGCTATATTTTCATCTATAATGCAGCAGGAACTAAAAAAGAGTTTAAAACTTCCAATGTTTTAGAGCATGGGTTCTGGTGGTAAGAGGCAGATTAAATAAATACAATTAAATAAATGCTCTGATTAAATAAATAAGAACACTGTTCAGGTTAGGAGATTGTAATTGTTATAGGGAAGGTGATCCTGAGTGTGGGTGTATGGAGCCTGGGAAGATGGCTGTTTTACAGGACTGGCAGAGTGATCGTCACTGGCAAGGTGGCCTTTGAGGATATTTGAAAGACATGAAAGAATTTGTCAAAGAGTCTAAAGGAAGCTTTTCCTAAGCCAGAGGAGATTGGGGGGATTCCTTACATGCTGATACCCCTAGGGTAGGATCCTGTCTGTGTGTTCTGGGGAGAACAAAGACTCTAGTGTGTCCTGAACATAATAATTGAAAAATTAGATGTATGGCCAGACCTGGAGGTATGGCCAGCTTCTAGGTCTGGAGGATACTGAAAAGTTCTGTTACCACCTCAAGAAGGGAGTCACAGACATTCCTGTGCACAGCGATCCCCTGAGTGTCACCTTGACACATGGTCTAAGGTACAGCAGGAGATTGCTATGTATGGCAAGGTGTTACTGATGCTGCTGGTCTGCAAATCATACTTGCAGGAGCAAGAATATAGAAAAGGATTCCCCAGTTATGTTTCTCCCCTGTAAGACTTATTAAATAAGTGAATCCTAAAATCTAGAACCAATATTCTGACACAGTGGGTCTGTAGAGAGACCTGAGAATTGTTTAATAAGCTTTACTCCAGCAATCCTGGTACTCAGACAGGAATTACTGAATTCAGTGATCAGAATAGCTAGAGTGGAGATTCCACATTTAAATATTATTTTTTTTCCTGGGAAAGAAGAAGGAATAAATGTTTTGCCAATTATGAGACATGTTGTTGAGAGAAAAAATGCCATTTTCTCTACAGGGGTGCAGCCAAGTGGAAAATACAGAAAGAAGCTCTCAGCTTAGGATAATGTAAATCTCAAATTTTGCTGTCCCAAACCATTTCCCAGACTGATCTCTCACTCACAGCTTGCAATAAAGAATAGAATGCTGGTTTTTCCCATTTAAACATAAAGGATTTTATATATGTAATATTACAATTCATTTTATTTTGGAAAATTCCACAGAACCAACTGGCCTTAAGGCTATACAACCAGAAACAGATCCATAATACCACTCTAGGTCAAGTCCTATTTAGGCTTCACCGTCCCTACTGCCAGACACAGATGCCACTACTCACACCACTGACATCTTGATGCTGGACACTGGACCTGCAGGTGGGACTACTTTCCTTCTGCTCCTGAAAACTAGGCATCACTATTGCCATTCACACTACCCTTGCTAAATCATTCTGCACAGTCCCAGCCTCTCCGTGTCATCAGGTTGAGGGACAGAGTTCAGCATGTGGTCATCTGACCAGTGGAATTAAAGCTTCATGCAATATCTATTTGCAAGAATGTTTAAGAAAGTGAGTTGCATCCCTTATGGAGGGAAGAGGTATTTGCCTCCTTACCAAGACTCCCTAAGTGTGAAGTTTCCCTAAGGTAGAAAGAGAGTCTAGGAGCTAGAGGTAAAAGAATGARGGATGGAAAAAGAATGGTAAATTAAGGGCTGGGGGTGTAACTAGTGATAGAGTGCATGCTTAGCATGAACAAGGCCCTGGGTTCAATCCCCTGTATGAAAAAGAATAAAAAGGAGAAATAGAAGACAAATTAGGATTAAAAAAAAAACAGGTCTGTAAAATACCAGAGGATCCATCCACTGACATTTTGTGGTAATTTTTATGTTTTGTTGTACTTGCACATATTTATAAGGAAAGTTGCCAGAAATTTGTAAGTTTTCATATGACTTCCAATAAAAGTCTAAAGCACTGTCCTAGTGTTGAGATGTTATGCTACTCAAATGTGTATCCACAGCTGAAGACCAAACTGTTTTTTTTTTTATTGGTTGTTCAAAACCAATATATGAGGAAAAAACGTAGAGTTCAGACAAAGTAAAGGGAAAAGGTGAAACTACAGTTATCCATTGCCCTTCCTGGATAGTGTTTCCAGAACACAGTGCCGGAAGGAGGATCCCTAAATATCCCAGGTGTCTCACTGAGTAAAAGGTATAGAGTTTATAAATTTGGAGAGGCTAGGATAGCCAGAATATGCAAAATAAAGACACATAGAAAAAAATGAAAATAAAAAGCAATAGTAATCCTCAGATARCACATCTAAGGTTCTCAGCTCATCAGTGAATGAAACTACTCAAAGATAGAGAAAAATAGTAATTCAAAAGGATTACAGGAGATGATGGTATCTAAAGATTCATAGGGTTGGAAATAGTGMCAGTTACCACTAAAATACTGAAAAGCTTTGTAATTTGCTAGCATTGGATAGAGTATTCATAAGGCCTTCTTTTAGTAGTGGTGGTTACTTAGTCCTAAACTAAATACTTTCTAATTTTACCCCCAAAAAGGTGTTAAAAGTAAGTCACAAATGAGTCAAATATCTCCTAATTAGCCTCATTTGTCTCAGTAATAAAAATTCTAGAATACTCATGAAATTCAAGAATTTTTAGCRACAAAACTGGTAAAGTTATAATGTCAGGCATTGATGCCCAGCTAGCACAAAAAGAAAATACTGTGGATAAGACAGAGAAAAGTAATCAATCTAAATTATTCTACTACTGACACAGAAGTTAAAATAAGCAGACAATGACATTAAAACATATTCTACATATTCAGAAAGTTGCAAAAGAGACATGAAAGGTATATTGGCTTAGACAGAGGGTAGTGAAAGGAGGGGCTGTAGGGGTGGGAAGGACAGTGGAATGAATTGGACATTAACCCTATGTACATATATGATTACACGACCAGTGTAATTTTTCATCATGTACAACCAAAAGAATAAAAAGTCACACTCCATTTGGGTATGATGTTTCAAAATGCATTATATTGTTATGTATAAATAATTAGAACAAGTTTTTTAAACAAAAGTGTCTGAGATATAAAATACACTAGATGGGATATAGGATTAATGGTAGATTCTGTATTGCAGAAGATCAGAAATCTTGAAAACTTAGAAATATTCCAAAACTACATAAAGTAAAAATCTATTACAATATATTGTACAATGTCAACAACCCAAAGAAAAATAGTTAGAGCTATGGAGAAGAACATCACTGTATCACAATTAAATTAAGTTAGTATAATAATGATATTCCAGATTTATACTTCCTGATAAGACAGGACATATATGATAAGTCATAGAACAACCACTAAGAAAACTATAATGAAATATTATTAAAGGAGTTACCATATTACGATAATAAATATCCATTTAACATATGCATAATCAGTAAAGAAAAATATAGAGAAAAAGACATGAGGAACTGTGGTAGCTTTTCATTACTATGACAAAATTTCTGAGGAAAAAAAATCTTAAGGAAAGACTTATGATGATTGTAGTTTATAATAATATATTGCATATTTCAAAATTGTTGAATAAATTTCACTTTTCTTACTAGAAAAAAAATGTTAAACATTTAAAGTGATAATAGTGGATGTCAGGTGGCAGGTTAGAGGAAGGCTGCATTTCCAGTTGCTACATAGCACAGGAATCAAATAGCCAGAGGACTGATTCTCAGAAAGGTGGGTATGAGAGATATTGCACTAAATTTCAATATTGAACCATCAAAACCTCTTATGGACTCAGATATTCGGGTACATTGAACAAATGACAAGGAAGAATATGTTATAGTCAAGCCAACGGCAGCAGTGACAGTAATGCTATTTCACCATAGAGGGGAGAAATAACAGAGAAAGAAACAAAATAGAAAGATTTAGCATGAAAAAACCTGTAGATAAGAAAAGCATCCCCAACTTTTCTCATCCAGAGGTTGCAGAGTGAACTGGTGTTTGAAATCTGCTCTGTATTTTACAGCTGACAAGGCTGCAGGAGCCCAGAGATTCTAGCCTTGGGGCCTCATGTGATCCAATGAACAGGGCTGAGAATCAGAACAGGTGGGCATAAAAAAACTCAGGGACTAATTCTGGAAAGGCTGAGCTCATGGACAGCAGAGTGTGTGTGCTGGCTCCCTTTCCCCACAAGTAGAATTCTTGGGAGGCTCCTAAGATCCAGACTCTCAGCAGATATTGGCATCTGCTGSGTTCTAAGGGTGTTATTCATCTAATATCTCCAGAGCAGAAACCACTCAGCAAAGCCCCTAATGCCTGATTAAACCTAACCTCAGAGAACTCTGCAGCCTTCCTACCTTGGGAGT